CACCAAGTGTTCGCGAAAAGGTTACGACTGTCCTGCCCTACCAGAAGCACCCGCCATTCACTCAATGTGCACAAAATATTAAGTATTTACTGTGTGACACCGCACAGCAGTACTCCTGCCATGCGACGGCGGCCTGTAAACAAATCAGACAATCAAGTGATCGATGGACCAGAAAATCCAGTAACGTGATAGTGCATTTACTGATTTTGTTCAAAGTAATAGAAACGATATGCTAATTCTTAATTACGTCAGCTGTGTACAAGTGCAGAGATTCTGCTGGTTATAAATAAAGAAACACGTGTAAGAACCACATTCGTTTTGCAACACAGTTGGGGGCCGTTTTAATGTATCGGCCCAAACAATTATTTTATTTAAATCTCCTACTGTTTGGCATGCGTGCTTTAAGGAGGTACTAGGATGTGTACAGTAGGTGTGTGTCTATTACAGTACAAGAACACCCAACTCATTTATCAGTAAACATGTTCCCGTTTCAGTTTGAAACGCCAAAGCACGACATAAAAATAATTGCAAACAGTAATTATAGCAGTCTTTCTACAACATTTTCACAAAAGGTGCCGTTTCTTCCAATGTAAACAATTGCATTCCATTTTCAAAATAGGCTACATAGAAGTGTTTACGGCAACCTCTTCATTGATCACGCTTAACTTAAAGACAACGTTACCCAGCTGGTTTATCAGCGTTTGTTAAATGACGCCATCAATGCCGACTCCCGCGCTCTTTTTCATTGGCGGTATGTTACCACAGCGATGTTTCCAGTTCAGTTCAGTTTATTTCTCTGAAAAACCACCAACGGTGGCACAAGGCCCTAACTTTGCGTGAAACTACCAGTCAAACATAGCGTGGCACAAGCTCACATCGCGAAAACCTGCAATCTCGTAATTACGGTGCATTCATGCGTGCGTAGGGTTTTCTGTGTCACGTCAAACTTACGTATACTTATGTAACATTTTAGGGTCAACCAATTACTATTTGATTGTCAATCAATCAATCAATCAATCTATATTCAAGCACTTAAGAGGCCACAGGCCTAGAGTACATATGACAGAGATGTTGCACACATTTTTTTAACTATACTCAGCAACAAAAGTTCCTGTGACACCAATATTTTAATGTATTTTTCAAACAAGTAAAGTTTGGTTTTCAATATTGTAGTACATGTATGTATTCAAGTCACAAAAACGCAACTGCTACAGAAAGGATGCATTCCATGCAAAAGTTGACCTTTATGCAAGCCACATGCATTTCACTACCCAAAAATGGGTATAAAAACATGTGCGTTAACGGGATTCCATATGCATTGTTTAGCATCGTCCTGACAACAACCATGCAGAAAAAAACACAAAATTACGCAATTATTTAACATTACGAAATACCACGCCTGTCCGAAAATGAGCGTCTGCGAGCCATTGGTATGCTTGAAGCAGGATCGAGTCAACGTGATGTTGCAAGACCATTTGGTGTTTATGGCAACGTTGGCAACAGACGGATGCAGTCAGAGACCATCCTCGGAGTGACAGGCCACGCGTAACCAATAATCGACAAGACAACTGGATTCGAACAACACACCTACGAAATCGATTCCAGCCAGCAACAGTGACTGCAAGAAGCATCCCTGGCCTTCGACGAATATCTTCACAAACCGTACGTCGTCGCCTCAGATGTGCAGGGATTGTCGCCAGAAGACCCGCCAGTCGTCCCATTTTGACAGAAAACTACCGTCAAGCACGTCTACAGTGGTGCAGACGGCGTCTACGCTTGACGGCCATGCAGTGGGGACAAGTTCTATTCACTTACGAGTCTCGTTTTCACCTCAGCCACAGCGATGGACGGATTCGAGTGTACCGACGTCGAGGTGAACGTTACGTCAATCATTGTGTCATGGAAGAAGATCGGTTCGGGGGCGGCAGCGTTATGGCATGGGATGGCATTACAGCAAGACAGAGGACCCGTTTGATAGTGGTAAAGGGAAATCTCAATGGACAGCGCTACCGCGACGAGATCATCGGCCCTGTTGTTCTACCGATTTTTTGCGTCGTCATGGCCCAGGCATTACCTTTCAACATGACAACGCCCGACCTCATATTGCTCGACTTGTTCAGGATTCTCTTTAACAAAACAACGTGAATGCTTCCCTGATCTCTCACCAATCGAGCACATATGGGATGAGATGGATCGGCGCCTTCGATGTCAACCAAGTGTTCCACAGACACTCCTGGAACTTCGAAACATGCTCCAGCATATATGAACAGATATCCCACAGGACTTTGTGCGACGCCTGGTCCATTCCATGAGACGAACATGTGTTGCTTGAATCGCAACCAAAGGTGGACACACACGCTATTGATTTGTTAATTGACATTTTGGCATGTTCATTGTTTGTTTCATGAAATCACCAATTTTTTTAAGTCAGTATGGCAAATTGCACCATTTGAACACTTACAGGAGTCTTTTATCTGTTGCAAACCGAAATTGTTTCAGATTTGGTAAAAAACATAACTTTGCATTAAATCTTATTCAATGTCAAGGGAACTTTTGTTATTCAGCATACTATTTACAAATTTGGTTCTATATAACAGTAAGTGGAATACATACATGGCTAAATTTTGTATTATTAATTTATCTAGACTGTTTAACAATTGTCGGAATTTCACAATATTTGGATCATTACAGTAATATATAGGAATATATTTTTTTCTCACAGTGGAGTACAATGGACATGCAAGTAAAACGTGATATTCATCCTCCATTTCTTGGCTATTACACATTTTACATAATCGTTCGGACCTTGGGATTTTTGTGTATCGCCCACTCTCGGTGTATTAATCATGAGATGAACATCGATATCTTGCTAATGAATTACGGTATCTCTTTATATTTACATAAAACATATTTGATTGTCATGACGTACTTGGACATAGAATTTTAAGGGACAAGCAGTGTAGACGTGAAGAACTAATAGCATAACAGTGCAATATCCGTGCTTTGTCGTATATCATTGTATTTGGGGGGGGGGGGGGGGGGGGGGAGGAGCACGGGTGGCCCAGTCGTTAAAGGCGCTGTGCAGAGTTGCGTCCCTTGGGCACGCCAGAAGCCTATGAATGTGGGTTCGAATCCCGGTTCGCCCCGATTATGTTTCTAGGTTTGTCAGCACCGTACCCGTACTCTAGGGTTTCACCGAAGTGGTAAACGTCTGAGGCCTGAACCATTCCGGGCTTTCCTCCCACATTAAGCTGACACGCCGCGATATAACTGGAATACTGTTAAAAGCGGCGTTAAACCCAACTCACTCACTGTCATTCGGGTGGCCGTCTCAATCTGCAAACCACAAACAGTTTGCTCTACCCTGTGGTACATTCCCTGTTTGGTCAACACTGTTTCGTAGATGAAGTTTGTATTAAACTGTCAACTTGGTCTACATTTTACGCGGATAAATCTGAATATATGCACTGTTTGTTCTTCATTGTTTCGCAGATAACGCATGTAACCAGTTGTGTCCTTGGTCTGCCTTTGTATCGCATATCATGTCGGTAATATGATGTTTACTTGTTCTACATTGCTTTGCAGCTCTGTTGATATATCCACCGTGTGTTCGTCTATGAAGCTTGCAATAAGCGGAGTGCTTCTGCTACATCGCTTTGTGCATGAAGCTTGTAATAAGCGGGATGCTTCTTCTACACCGCTTAGCCTATGAAGCTTGTAATAAGCGGGATGCTTCTTCTACACTGCTTTGCCTATGAAGCTTGTAATAGCCGGAGTGCTTCTTCTACACTGCTTTGCCTATGAAGCTTGTAATAAGCGGGATGCTTCTTCTACACCGCTTAGTCTATGAAGCTTGTAATAGGCGGAGTGCTTCTTCTACACTGCTTTGCCTATGAAGCTTGCAATAAGGAGAGTGCTTCTTCTACACCGCTTAGTCTATGAAGCTTGTAATAGGCGGGGTGCTTCTTCTACACTGCTTTGCCTATGAAGCTTGCAATAAGGAGAGTGCTTCTTCTACACCGCTTAGTCTATGAAGCTTGTAATAGGCGGAGTGCTTCTTCTACACCGCTTAGTCTATGAAGCTTGTAATAGGCGGAGTGCTTCTTCTACACCGCTTAGCCTATGAAGCTTGTAATAGGCGGGGTGCTTCTTCTACACCGCTTTGTGCATGAAGCTTGTAATAGGCGGGGTGCTTCTTCTACACCGCTTAGCCTATGAAGCTTGTAATAGGCGGGGTGCTTCTTCTACACCGCTTTGTGCATGAAGCTTGTAATAGGCGGGGTGCTTCTTCTACACCGCTTAGTCTATGAAGCTTGTAATAGGCGGAGTGCTTCTTATACACTGCTTTGCCTATGAAGCTTGCAATAAGGAGAGTGCTTCTTCTACACCGCTTAGTCTATGAAGCTTGTAATAGGCGGGATGCTTCTTCTACACTGCTTTGCCTATGAAGCTTGCAATAAGGAGAGTGCTTCTTCTACACCGCTTAGTCTATGAAGCTTGTAATAGGCGGAGTGCTTCTTCTACACCGCTTAGTCTATGAAGCTTGTAATAGGCGGAGTGCTTCTTCTACACCGCTTAGTCTATGAAGCTTGTAATAGGCGGAGTGCTTCTTCTACACCGCTTAGTCTATTAAGCTTGTAATAGGCGGAGTGCTTCTTATACACTGCTTTGCCTATGAAGTTTGCAATAAGGAGAGTGCTTCTTCTACACCGCTTAGTCTTTGAAGCTTGTAATAGGCGGGGTGCTTCTTCTACACCGCTTTGTGCATGAAGCTGGTAATAGGCGGGGTGCTTCTTCTACACCGCTTTGTCTATGAAGCTTGCAATAAGCGGGGTGCTTGTTCTACAACTCTTTGTGCATGAAGCTTGTAATAAGCTTCGTTGATGAAAGTGGCAACATTATCTCCATCGTTTCGGTATTGATTAAGCAAACACCAGATCATCTTGTCAGGGAAATTAGCACAATGGCTACCATATCCTGGCTTAATGAAACAAAATCGATGTTTTGCGCATGGTTTAATGTGACGGATTTATACATGAAATTGTAGAATATGAAGCATAAAACATTTACAGACAGTTGGACGGAGTGGTCCTGATCTGAAACTGAAAGATGACAAATTGCATTACATTGAAAACAAACGTGTCGATGCAGGCAGGATTGTGTCGTTTTCTGATTTATGTTGAAGGGCTATAGCTATTTATTCAATAAACATAATGTTAAAAACAGTACTATTATAAATAAATGTATGACTACCGAGGAAACCTGTGCATACTAGAAATGTCGGCCTCCCTTATTACTACAGAATGTTTCATTAAATATTGCGAGTTGGGAGCATCATGTTCAGTGATTGAGGCATGGAACGCACAGGCAATTTAATAGTAGCCAACTCGTTATTGAAGATGTATATATGTTTTACTCATACATGTAGCATTCACACGTGTGTACATACACCTACATTCGTCAATAAACCTCTGTAGAATTAGATGATGTTTACGAAGCGTACACTTAATTAATTTTAATATATTTGGAATGAGCTGAGAAAGAAAGGAGTAACAGAAAACTGCAACTATATATAAGGAACAAATTAATTACCCAATTTAAGATCAGGATCGCGTGAAATAATGAGGACAGTGAATGTCATTGAATCAAACTCGTAGTCATTCCGATATATCTTCTTCGAACACTTTGTGACAGATATGGCCAATGATGTACTTCAACCCTCTATCCAATCTGCTCTGGAAAGGCGGTTATGAACTCGTCTATATAATGGTCTATATCAATCAGCCTTTCTAATCCTATTGGTACCAGACTAATAAGCCCCAAAAACAGCTTCTTCTCTCGCGGATTAATCTTAAGTTCCCAGTCCTTGAACCGAACTTTCAGAAGGCTGTTGTCTGGTTTAAGGAGTTCCTCCATGTCCTTCCGGGTCGCCTTGATGATCTCCACTTTGTCTTTCTGTTCCTCCGTCTCGCACACTCCATGAATTTGGGAGAGACGGTAGCAGAAGGTAGTTTCCACGTCCTCAAAGATCTGTCCAATGACGTCAAGAGTTTCAAGGTATATGTCGATGGATTCAAATCCTGTTTGTCGGATGCCCTTTGCTATCTTGACAGAGTTGCGGAAGTCGGCCAGTGATTGGATTATACCAACATCATCAGGCAGGATGCGTTTAACGCAGATCATGAAGTCGTCCAGATTCAGCTCGAAATCGTTCTCCAAATCCCTCATCCTCGTGGTGTCCTCGCCGAGCTGCTTCTGACAATCCCGGATCTCCTTCAGGATTTTAATGTCGTTAGCTGGAAGAAATGATGAACATTATACAGCTACCTGGATAAAGGGAAAAGGAGGTGTCCAATACCGGTGTCATACCGGTACGTAATACATAATAATATAACCTTTAAAATCAAAACGTATGTTCCAACATATATCAAACATCGGTTAAAATGGCTATAATATATTGGCTAGTAGTGGTAGTAGTAATAGGATTTAAGGCGAACACGTATTGGTTAGCAGTAATAGTTGTAAGTATAAGGGCCACCGACACCCACTTTGTGTTCAACAAAACACTTTACTAATAGTAGTTGAGCAGATAGAAGTTTAGAAACCGATTCAACATCAATATGTTGAGACCTTCGTGTAAAATAGATATGAGATACATAAAAGCTGCATATACATTGCATATCTAGATTGAACATTCTCATTTACATATAAACATATCTATTCGTTTTGTGGATGAATTCTATGGGCCTTTGGACTGAATCCCTCATAATTTTCGACTTCAAGGCCATGACATTCTATGAAGTATTTGGAAACAGTTTCGGCCACCAGAATGGCAACAATTTGCGGAAACAGTCTTATCTGTAGTACATACGTCACCATTTAGTCCACAGTTTCCCAATCGAAGTCGAGTGAAAATAATTTTTTTAAACGTCTTTTGATTCTGTGGATTTATGAATATGTCGGCCTGTTTTATTGTCATTCTTGAGCAACGATGCATTCATCTTCTGGACATAATTTGTTATAACTAGCTTTGGTTCACCCACCCTGTCTCTGTTTCCATAGTTCTTAGTGAATTGTACACATCCCTGGCAGGAAATATAATTTTTGGGGATATTTTAAACGCATGTATTAATTTGTTGTGCAGATGCTGCTTCCAGAGGTCGTCTTAAGCAACATTATTGTCAATGTGGTCAATACATTTTGGATACAGTATTGTTGTCTAAATGTCTTTGAAATTTGTAACATATAGAGTTTCCTGAATCTAAAGAAAGACGAGATGTCACTATGACTTGGAGCAATTCAACACCACGGAGGCGGTCTACTTGTAAAAGAAAATAGACATACACGTCTCTACACAGTTGGGACTTTCGTTGGGATTTCCGTTGTACTAGGTTTCCGCTACACAAACACGGGATTGGTTGTCTGCGATATTTGAATCAAACAGTAATAAAATACCGTTACACGAGGGATAGGTAGAGTTACTCACGGAACTTGGCGATGCTGACTCGCTCATTGCTTCTGTTGAGAAGCTCCTCTTTGCAGTCTGCATATTCATCCTCCCACATCTTAGCGCGGATGGTCAGCCGTGTCACAGCACATTGCTTCATTGTCTCCTTGGTAACGAACAGTTCCTGGAACAATGCCGACAACTTGTCCTTCTCCCACAGCCTCCATAGACTCTCCAGAGCTTCAAGGTCATCAAAGGTGACTATCAAGATCATACCTGAAACGGAATTACATTAAGTTTGAAAGAGAGTAACAACACTAGGTTTTAAATCAGGTTACTAAGGAACAACAGTATAACATATAGAGCTACCTATTTTTGATCGGGTCTTCAGGCTCGGTGACTACCCATCGTTCCCACGGCGTTGACCGTTGCTCATAATATTAATCACTTGTTTGATGATATTCATGTCGTCGTTATATAGTATGGATATTGGGAAGTGCGGCTTTAAACAAAAAACAAAACAAATGATTCATTTAAGTCCAAATAGGTGTCACGGGATATTCACATGGGTATTTGAGGGATAGGTTTACATGGAATAATGGTTAGAAGGAGTGGCTGATACACGCGTATGTGATAAGTAAAAAAGTAATTCACGTGGAATTAAAACGGGAGTGAGTCAGTTGGGTTTGGGAACTTTTTTAACAATACCTATATTTCAGTTATCTCACGGCGTGCCAGCCTGTGGGTAGAACGTCTAACGCGATGCAGGTTTTTGACGTTCACCACATTTGTGAGCCGACGACCACGGGAATGGTGCTGATAAATCAACAATTATAGTCTGGGATTTGAACCCACGTGTATTCTGGCACTTAGGGAGGTGCAGACGTGCAGTTATGTTTCGAAGAAGGGTGGCTTCTATACATGTTTATGTACTGAAGGTCGAATGCCTCATTATCATGTGGTTCAGGTTGATTGAGTTTCAGATATTTAAATGGACATGTCGTCGGACGGTATTATATACATTCAGTATGCTTAATAGATGGGGTGGTCATGCTTGCTGACTTGGTTGATGCATGTCATTGTTTCCCAATTGCGTGGATCGATGCTCATGATATTAATCACTGGATTGTCTGGTCCAGACTCTATTATATACAAACCGCCGTCATATAGCTGGAATATTGCTGAGTGCGACGTTAAACAAGAAACAATATAATACAGTAACAGGTGGATATGAACAATGACCTATTCATTTGTGAATGTGCACATGGTGCAGGGTGACCTATTTCTATGAGAGTGGGTATATGATGCGATACAGACTATTCCTATGTGAATATGCACACGGTGCATGGTGACCTATTTCTATGTGAATGCGCATATAATGCGATACTGTCTATTCCAATGTGAATGTGCACATGGTGCGGGGTGACCTATTCCTATGTGAATGTGCACATGGTGCGGGGTGACGTATTCCTATGTGAATGTGCACATGGTGCGGGGTGACGTATTCCTATGTGAATGTGCACATGGTGCGGGGTGACGTATTCCTATGTGAATGTGCACATGGTGCGGGGTGACCTATTCCTATGTGAATGTGCACATGGTGCAGGGTGACCTATTCCTATGTGAATGTGCACATGGTGCGGGGTGACGTATTCCTATGTGAATGTGCACATGGTGCGGGGTGACGTATTCCTATGTGAATGTGCACATGGTGCGGGGTGACCTATTCCTATGTGAATGTGCACATGGTGCGGGGTGACCTATTCCTATGTGAATGTGCACATGGTGCGGGGTGACGTATTCCTATGTGAATGTGCACATGGTGCGGGGTGACGTATTCCTATGTGAATGTGCACATGGTGCGGGGTGACGTATTCCTATGTGAATGTGCACATGGTGCGGGGTGACCTATTCCTATGTGAATGTGCACATGGTGCAGGGTGACCTATTCCTATGTGAATGTGCACATGGTGCAGGGTGACGTATTCCTATGTGAATGTGCACATGGTGCTGGGTGACCTATTCCTATGTGAATGTGCACATGGTGCAGGGTGACCTATTCCTTTGTGAATGTGCACATGGTGCGGGGTGACCTATTCCTATGTGAATGTGCACATGGTGCGGGGTGACCTATTCCTATGTGAATGTGCACATGATGCGGGGCGACCTAATCCTAAGTGAATGTGCACATGGTGCGGGGTGACGTATTCCTATGTGAATGTGCACATGGTGCGGGGTGACGTATTCCTTTGTGAATGTGCACATGGTGCGGGGTGACCTATTCCTATGTGAATGTGCACATGGTGCGGGGTGACCTATTCCTATGTAAAATGTGCACATGGTGCAGGGTGACGTATTCCTATGTGAATGTGCACATGGTGCAGGGTGACCTGTTCCCATAATATGAATGTGCACATGATGCGATACAGCCTATTCCTATGTGAATTCGTACATGGTGCAGGGTGACCAATTCATAAGTGAATGTGCACATGGTGCGGGGTGACCTATTCCTATGTGAATGTGCACATGGTGCGGGGTGACCTATTCCTATGTAAAATGTGCACATGGTGCGGGGTGACGTATTCCTATGTGAATGTGCACATGGTGCAGGGTGACCTGTTCCCATAATATGAATGTGCACATGATGCGATACAGCCTATTCCTATGTGAATTCGTACATGGTGCAGGGTGACCAATTCATAAGTGAATGTGCACATGGTGCGGGGTGACCTATTCCTATGTGAATGTGCACATGGTGCAGGGTGACCTATTCCTATCTTAATGTGCACTTGGTGCGGGGTGACCTATTCATAAGTGAATGTGCACATGGTGCGGGGTGACCTATTCCTATGTGAATGTGTACATGGTGCGGGGTGACCTATTCCTATGTGAATGTGCACATGGTGCGGGGTGACCTATTCCTATGTAAAATGTGCACATGGTGCGGGGTGACGTATTCCTATGTGAATGTGCACATGGTGCAGGGTGACCTGTTCCAATAATATGGATGTGTACATGATGCGATACAGCCTATTCCTATGTGAATTCGTACATGGTGCAGGTGACCAATTCATAAGTGAATGTGCACATGGTGCGGGGTGACCTATTCCTATGTGAATGTGCACATGGTGCGGGGTGACCTATTCCTATGTAAAATGTGCACATGGTGCGGGGTGACGTATTCCTATGTGAATGTGCACATGGTGCAGGGTGACCTGTTCCCATAATATGAATGTGCACATGATGCGATACAGCCTATTCCTATGTGAATTCGTACATGGTGCAGGGTGACCAATTCATAAGTGAATGTGCACATGGTGCGGGGTGACCTGTTCCTATGTGAATGTGCACATGGTGCGGGGTGACCTATTCCTATGTGAATGTGCACATGGTGCGGGGTGACTAATTCATAAGTGAATGTGCACATGGTGCGGGGTGACCTATTCCTATGTGAATGTGCACATGGTGCGGGGTGACCTATTCCTATGTGAATGTGCACATGGTGCGGGGTGACTCATTCATAAGTGAATGTGCACATGGTGCGGGGCGACCTATTCCTATGTGAATGTGCACATGGTGCGGGGTGACCTATTCCTATGTAAAATGTGCACATGGTGCGGGGTGACGTATTCCTATGTGAATGTGCACATGGTGCAGGGTGACCTGTTCCCATAATATGAATGTGCACATGATGCGATACAGCCTATTCCTATGTGAATTCGTACATGGTGCAGGGTGACCAATTCATAAGTGAATGTGCACATGGTGCGGGGTGACCTATTCCTATGTGAATGTGCACATGGTGCGGGGTGACCTATTCCTATGTGAATGTGCACATGGTACAGGGTGACCTATTCCTAAGTGAATCTGCACATGGTGCGGGGTGACCTATTCCTAAGTGAATGTGCACATGGTGCGGGGTGACCTCTTCCTATGTGAATGTGCATATGATGCGATACAATCTTTTTCTTTGTGAATGTGTACATGGTTCGGGGTGACCTATTCCTGTGTGTATTTGCATATGATGCGATACAGCCTATTCCTATGTGAATTCGTACATGGTGCAGGGTGACCAATTCATAAGTGAATGTGCACATGGTGCAGGGTGACCTATTCCAATGGGTCATGAGTGCATATCATGAGATCTGGGCGATACACAAACGAGAGTCTGAGTTCTGATCATTCATCAACCTTCACAGGGAAGAACATAAATCTGTGTGTGATCTCCAAGATCTTTCACAGTCGACTAACCGTGTAAATCTGACCCTCCATGTTACCGTACCTTTTCTTATCCCCTCCAGGATGACCCCCTTGAATAGTCCTCGGTGTTCCAGGGCGCCCTTCACCTTCACCAGGTCCGCTCTGGACAGGTGATCCAGCAGGTTCTCCCGGACCGACATCATGAAGCAGTGCTCCAGACCGAACTCTTTGGGGTTAACTGCCTGAGCATCGATTGGGTCAATGTAGATCCCAACCTCACCTGAAACATTCGTTAAGTGAAAAGTGATTAGCAAAGTGTATTGGTTTTCATTGCATTAGTGAGAGGTTTCCTAATCTTTCATTGAGAATATATGCCATATCTCTGAGGAGTTTCTGATATATCACTATCTAGAGTTCTGATATCAGACATCGCCAATGGTCAGAGTTCTTGGCCCATGGTTGTTTAATGTCAGGGCCCCCGACGTGATACTGCCACATAATGGCTATCAACCTTTTGCGATCCTGACATTTGGAACCTCGTAAATGGTTGGCCAGTTTATTTCTTGACAGAATGGCCTGTTGGAACTATTATATGGAATGTGAACCCTGATGGAAGTGCCATTCGATTAGATAAACGGTGTATTTATCAACCACCATTAAATATCCTCTTTATATCAGACACCATGAGACAACCTCAGAGCAGAGTAGGTAATGAGATGAAGGTGGTAGAATTTTGGGGAAGAGCAAAAATAAAAGAAAACATGTCTGTGTAAATGGTATGTTAGAATATTAGTCTGAGATTTCATGACTTTCAGACTCGCTTGAAGGTATTTAAGATAGGAAACGTTCAGACCAATATGAGGGCATTATGTGATGTTCAATCCTAATATTAGTCTTCTGGGAATTATCATGTCTTATCATGGATGGGATATATTCAGTCCTAGTGATGGCAGAGTGAGATACCATCACATTCAGTCAAAGTAATGTCACGGTCAGGACAGAAGGCGTTCAGCCCTAATGAAGGCAATGTGAGATACCATTGCATTCAAATGGGAATGAGGTAAGGATGTGGTGCATTGAGTTTCGATGCAGTGAAATATACTAGATTCAGCTTTAGTGATACCAAAGTGAGACATCATGACACTGAGATATACACTGAAGTCAGTCCCAGTGATACCAAAGTGAGACATCATGACACTGAGATATATACTGGATTCAGCCCCAGTAATAGCAAAGTGAGACATCATGGCGCTGAGATAATATACTAGATTCAGCCCCAGTGATAGCAAAGTGAGACATCATGACACTGAGATATATACTGGATTCAGCCCCAGTGATAGCAAAGTGAGACATCATGACACTGAGATAATATACTAGATTCAGCCCCAGTGATAGCAAAATGAGACATCATGACACTGATATATATACTAGATTCAGCCCCAGTGATAGCAAAGTGAGGCATCACGGCACTGAGATATAAACTGGATTCAGCCCCAGTGATAGCAAAGTGAGACATCATGACACTGAGATATATACTGGATTCAGCCCCAGTGATAGCAAAGTGAGACATCACGGCACTGAGATATATACTAGATTCAGCCCCAGTGATAGCAAAGTGAGGCATCATGACGCTGAGATAATATTCTAGATTCAGCCCCAGTGATAGCAAAGTGAGACATCACAGCACTGAGATATTTACTGGATTCAGCCCCAGTGATAGCAAAGTGAGACATCATGACACTGAGATAATATACTAGATTCAGCCCCAGTGATAGCAAAGTGAGACATCACGGCACTGAGATATATACTGGATTCGGCCCCAGTGATAGCAAAGTGAGACATCATGACACTGAGATAATATACTAGATTCAGCCCCAGTGATAGCAAAGTGAGACATCATGACACTGAGATATATACTGTATTGAGACCAGTGATAGCAAAGTGAGACATCATGACACTGAGATATATACTGTATTGAGACCAGTGATAGCAAAGTGAGACATCATGACACTGAGATATATACTGGATTCAGCCCCAGTGATAGCAAAGCGAGACATGACAGAGATTGTATATTAAATTCAACACCAGTGATTTCGCCCTGGTCCTGAAAATAAGAAATATCATGTAATTCAAACTATGCGCTGGCAACGTTAGATGCGGAAGCATTTGACACAAAACTGGTCAGCAGGCAACGAGAAATATAGAAGACGATGGAATCGAAATTGTGTTTATGGAAATGAGGCTAACCCTAACATGAACCCGTCCATTCAAGAACACATGTCTAATCTCACCTGTATTTCTGGTGAGGAAGGGCCTGGACGCATCCTTAGTGTCAGGTATTTCCTCGTCCGGGTCCATCTTCCCACGCCGGTGCGCCAGGTGGTTCAAGAACTGAAATTCACAATGGTGTGTTTGAACGGTAAGGTTCTACAAAGGACATACGGCCGTATCAGAAAATCCATGGATGTCAGTCCTCAGGTGGTGTGCGGTTGGCACGGGTCGTTTAAAACCATAACCGTTTTTGTTGAAGCCAAAACACGGTTTCAGATTCCCAAATTGGAACGTAAAAATGCTACTGCTGAAGTTTCGCTGTTGCAATATTGGTAAAATTAGTGTCAAATCGCACTTTACATACGCATGATGGAATCAGCTGCTTGCATTCCAATATCAGATATGACTATGGTTTTAGCCAGCCTAAACAATGCAAGTGTTCTGGCAATATCACGGCGAGGCACATCAGAAATGGGAGACACACACTGCACATTGCAAATCGGACCTGGACCTCCTGCGTGACGGGCGAATGCGTTAACCGCTAGGATAACACACCGCCCCTCAACGAAGTATAAAGCTTGCCTCATTTCCCTATATACATGCACGCATTATCATCTTATCTTGGTTTCATCGTTGTAACAGAAACGTCACCCCTTAAATATGACTTAATCCCACACATGACAATGCTGAACATATATCTACTTAGAAAGGTTGACTTTCCTTCCAGGCAGCATTTGTAACACCTTACAATGAAACCCATTCACTTCCTCGCTTACAAGCAACGATATAAATTGAAACTAGGTATTTAAACGGTGAACGCTTATAGTGTGACAGGAGTGAGTCATATTAAAACATTGTAAACACGTTTGATCAATGTTTAGTTCCGATTGTCACTGAAAACGTCTCGGAAAAAAGTACATGCCCCTGGCCTTCCCCTATAGAGTACTTCGTGAAGGTTTGTAGAGTTTGCTCCTTACAAATCAATGCCTTTTCCAATGGGCAAGTCAACTATATCTTCGTTGTGAATAGTCAAACAAGATATACCTACTTGCAAGTTTCTTGCTGACCGCATGTTTTATCACCTTCTCCACGGACGTGCCAATGGTCACAGAGTGTTGACTCTGACACCACACAAACAGTTAACCCCACAATGGAATCAAAACCTTAGTATTCCCACGTGTCTAATTTCGCTTACGCAATCCGTGAGAAGTGTTCTCGCCACTGGCGTGCACGTGATGGCTGGTGGGTGTGGCTTCACCGAGAACACAATAATTACTCATCTACACTTAAAAACCCCGTGAAGATCAGAATGAGAATTGGTCTTCAGCAACCCATGCTTGTCGTGAGAAGCCACCAATGGGATCGGGTGGTCAGGCTCGCTGACTTGTTTCATGCATGTCATCGTATCTCTATTGCGTTGAGCGATGCTCATGATGTTCGTGATGCTGATCATTTACGGACCGCATATAGCTGTTATATTCTGAGTATGGTGTTAAACAACAAGCAAACACACAAAGCTTTACACGTTATCGGTATTAGAGGCAATCGAGCGAGTATTGGATTAAATTTCTTGAACTGTCATTCACTTCCCGAGAACTGCTTTACGTTAAAATTGTTTTCAATAAATGTACACAATATGTCGCTTTATGAAAGGTCGATCCATATGAACAATTGCGACACAACGTCGGCTTCGTCTGACGCATATATGGTGACTGTGCTTTCACGAATGTCAAAGAATATTCAAAAGTACTTTGCTTAAGAATAGTTTCAAAGTACAAAAGTACAAAGTACAGTTGCCGTTAAATAATCAGTAAACTAGTACGTTTTCATAAATATTTGAGAGACCTGTTTATCATATTGCACACAAATAAGTGACGGGACTCACCATGATGTCTGTGACAAAGTAAATCTGCTGCTTGGTGTTGGTGCGTTCTCGTTTAATGTAGATTCCTGGACCAAGTGCTGTATTTATACAGAATGGTCTTCATAATCAGATGTTTGTCTCTAACAATGCATCTGATTGGGTAAGAATAAGAATCATAACAGGTATATATTTGCCTCATCGGTCACGCCCCAGTAAGGTAAACGGTTGGCTAAATGGTGGCTGATTGGTTAAGTGATGCACGATCGACCAAACGGCAGTCGGGGGCTTAATGGAATTGCAAGGACGTGAATACAAACTACGATTCAGGAAGAGAAGTGCCGTACCCTCTTCCCCAAACCTGAATTCCTGATATTTTCTAAAAGGACATGGTTCAGAAATACAGACTGTGTCACTTGTAGCATCCTGTTTACAACAGAAGATTGATTCCAATTAAGGTACGGAACGGCAGTTTGGCATAATCGAATGTCAACGTGATTTAAGAGAAACATTGATTTGAACGGAGAGTTGGAAGAGTGGAATATTCTATGGAACAGATGCAATTTACACCAAGCTATTCACGGGAAGGAACCGTGACGGCACTGCGGATGTCACATTTCTGTAATCGACATTTAGAATGTACACTTGATAATGTCATTAGGCTGATGTACACACACCCTTAACAAAGTCAACAGTGTACCGTTCTTGCCATGTCTGTCTCAGAGGTGTTTTCGTGAGTTGATCATTACCAAATATAATACCTTGCTGCTTTTTTTTCTCAATTGTATTTTGTAATTTTTAATTGTTTCTTTAAACAATTGTTTCTTTCGGCGGGTGGACATTGGTTATTCTCGGGCGTTAAAGTTTTATATTATATTCATACAGAGCCACACTCGTGGGTGCATAATTGTGTCCCTAATTCTTGCCCGAACCCGCTTGTCATGGGTTCGAGTCCGACGTTGGCACCTGATCATGATCCTTGTTCTATCAGCACAATACCGGAGTGTTGACGTGAACTACCCGCCTTACTCGGGACGTTTCTCCCACATGAAACTGACACCGTGTGATATGACTGGAATACTGTTCAAAGAGTCTCAAACCCAACCCATATATAATGATCATGATGATTATACCTTTTTCGAAGTTTAGCCTTTCAGGATACCCAATAATTGGTTTTCTACTGATATAGGACCTCACTCCAAAATTCCTTTCACAAGACGTTACAGAACACCCGATATGACTATAGTTGATCTATCACGGCGTGGCAGGTCATATGAGTGAGTGAGTGAGTGAGGTTGATTTTACGCTGCTTTAGGCAATATTCCAGCAATATCACGGCGGGTGACACCAGAAATGGGCTTCAAACATAGTACCCATGTTGGGAATCGAACCCGGGTCTTCAGCGTGACGAGCGAACGCTTTAACCACCAGGCTACCCGACCGCCCCTGCAGGTCATATGAACAAATCGGGCGTTCTTAACTTCTTTTGAGTAGTGTATATCTACAGCGTAGTGAGCCATCTGCACGGTTTAGAATGTGTCTTGTAACCTAATTGCTACGCTATTACTTCAGTAAGTTTTGCATAGTATTATAAAAAATGAGTTGATACATGTACGATCATGTCAGTCTTAACTGTATTTATTAAACACGTGTGTAATAAATACCAGAGGCGGATGTTTGGAAACTTTTTAATTTTCACCACAGGTTATAATGAAGAATATCCTTCACGAATACCGATGTCCCGAGGTGTGACGGATTGCTGTATTTCAATGGATCAATGCTTATTGTTATGCATGTCAGTGAACACCGTAACTATATTGGCTAGAGATCCTGAACTAAATTGGCTTCCGTAATATATCGTATTTCAATATCAGAGACTCAACCAAATGTTAGTAACATGGTCCTCGTCAAACTTCAAATTCAGTGAAATCCCATTCTTTAGCGTGCATTAATCATGATCGCTGACAGGAAAGCTATCACTTACCTCGACATCAAAGACATTCCCATGGAGGTTTCTTTGAGGCTGGCAAGGTTTAGTGTTAAACTGCGATATTAGTTTGACAAATCCAATATCAAAGTGTTGCAAACACCGCACGTAATTCGCCTGGCATATTGTTAAATAACAAATAATGTCAGGGAATCGTTATTGAGCATTATTCCACCGCCTTTATATCTACTTATACGTTCTGAGGCGTGCATAGCCCTGCTGTCACACGCATTTATTGTGTGATCATTTATTGCATTTTGTACGGTAGGTATTCGTTTGTTACAGTGACAACTAAATGGTCTGTATAGTACACACAAAGGAACGAATTGTCAACATTAATGTATCAGTTATTATGACAACACGCCCGCATAAGTGTAGTGTTCAACGCTGAGAAGCAATAATCGAGATCGTCTGACCTACATACCGGTTGTGTTTACAAGAAGACCCCACTCGAATGCGACGCCAGGAAATCTGACTGAAACATGTTTTCACCTGGGTTAAAGCTTTCAATAGATACGCTATAAATCATAGGTTAACCGTTGAGTTGAGAACCGTTTTGTATGACCCCAATAAACAGTATGATATGCACTGTTTCTGATTGGAAAGTCTAAATATCTCGTTTATTTATATGAGGCGGTCGTGAACAATCTGAGATGTCATGTTGATTTTCGCATCCCATACTTTTGTTGTTGACAATTTTTATCTTGTGTCACTACATGTGCAATTGTGTAAACACAGACAGACAGACAGACAGACAGATAGATAGACGTCGTCGTCAATCAGAGAGCAGAACTGTTTTGTATTTTAAGATAATTAATTGTGATGTGCAAAAACATGAATTTTTAAAGAAGTCACGTTTGTGAATATATTAATAAAAATTATAGAGAAAAAAGCTCACAACGGAGAGTTGAGTGAGTATGGTTTTACGCCGCTTTAAGCAATATTCCAGCAATATCACGGCGGGGGACACCAGAAATGGACTTCACACATTGTACCCATGTCGGGAATCGAACCCGGGTCTTCGGCGTGACGAGCGAACGCTTTAACCACTAGGCTATCCGATCGCCATAGTAGTAGAAGTAGTAGTAGTAGTAGTAGTAGTAGTAGTAGTAGTAGTAGTTATAACTATCCATGTCTGGTACCACAGCCATACCTTAATGTAATACATGACAGCACTACTAACAAGAACTACTGTGACCCCTATGTCTGACAGATATGTGTGAACATCCATGTTTAGCGTCGCCATCATGATAACACTGTCATAATAGTAACACCTTGTTACCAGACATTTGCTGCTGCATAATTTATGTGTTTACTCGATCACCCACAAACATGAAAATGCACTTTCGATGGCTATAAACATGTACAAGGAATGTGGAGGAACTAATCTCCTTTATTCGAACAACATGTATTAACTCTTAAACTGTGATGATCAACACGGCACCATTACACGAAGCGAAAGTATTCTGACTCTCTACCCGACAATATCTGACGCTCCACCCAACAATATGCGACGCTCTACCCGACAATGTGTGACACTCTAACCTACAATATGTGACACTCTACCCGGTAATATGTGACGCTCTACCCGACAATATGTGACACTCTACCCGACAATATGTGACGCTCTACACGACAATGTGTGACACTCTACCCGACAATGTGTGACACTCTACCCGACAATGTGTGACGCTCTACCCGACAATGTGTGACAGTTTACCCAACGATATGTGACACTCTACCCAACAATGTGTGACACTCTACCCGACAATATGTGACGCTCTACCCGACAATGTGTGACACTCTACCCGACAATGTGTGACACTCTACCCGACAATTTGTGACACTCTATCCGACAATGTGTGACACTCTACCCCACAATGTGTGAAACTCTACCCGACAATGTGTGACGTTCTACCCGACAATATGGGACCCTCTACCCGACAATATCTGACGCTCCACCCGACAATATGCGACGCTCTACCTGACAATGTGTGACAGTTTACCCGACGATATGTGACGCTCTACCTAACAATATGTGACACTCTACCCGACAATATGTGACACTCTACCCGACAATATGTGACCCTCTACCCGACAATATCTGAGGCTCCACCCGACAATATGCGACGCTCTACCCGACAATGTGCGACGCTCTACCCGACAATGTGTGACGCTCTACCCAACAATGTGTGACACTCTATCCGACAATTTGTGACACTCTACCCGAAAATGTATGACGCTCTACCCGACAATGTGTGACACTCTATCCGACAATATGTGACACTCTACCCGACAATGTGTGACACTCTACCCGACAATGTGTGACACTCTACCCGACAATATGTGACGCTCTACCCGACAATATCTGACACTCAACCCGACAAAGTGCGACGCTCTACCCGACAATGTGTGACAGTCTACCCGACAACATGTGACGCTCTACCCGACAATATGTGACACTCTACCCGACAATGTGTGACACTCTACCCGAAAATGTATGACACTCTACCCGACAATGTGTGACACTCTATCCGACAATGTGTGACACTCTACCCGACAATGTGTGACACTCTACCCGACAATGTGTGACACTCTACCCGACAATATGTGACGCTCTACCCGACAATATCTGACACTCCACCCGACAATATGCGACGTTCTACCCGAAAATGTGTGACAGTCTACCCGACAACATGTGACGCTCTACCCGACAATATGTGACACTCTACCCGACAATGTGTGACACTCTACCCAACAATGTGTGACACTCTACCCGACAATGTGTGACACTCTACCCGACAATATGGGACACTCTACCCGATAATAAGTGACGCTCTACCCGACAACATGTGACGCTCTACCCGACAATATGTGACACTCTACCCGACAATGTGTGACACTCTACCCGATAATAAGTGACGCTCTACCCGACAACATGTGACGCTCTACCCGACAATATGTGAAGCTCTCCCCGACAATATGTGACACTCTAACGTACAATATGTGACACTCTGTCCGACAATATTACGACGCTCCACCCGACAACACGAAGGGCTGTCATCTCCTTTAATAGCCATTCCAGCTAGCGGAGCAGGAAACTAGGAATGCTGTTTTCTCTTATTATTGATCACACGCGCCTCGTTCTACCCCATGACATCGCACACAACGTGAATCCCTGCCAGACAGCTATTCCAGCAACACGACATGCATAACAAGTACATCTCCTCCCAAACAGAGGACCGTGTTCCTGCCTAAAGAGGTTGATAGTGTGTCATTGACGTAAGCAGCCGAGTGACTGCCGTAACACTCACGTGAAAAACAGATGATTTATTCCGATCTTGAGATTTCTATTTACGATTTCACAAAACCTATTTCGTCCGGCCTCATCAGTTTTAATTACGTTATCTGAATGTGTCAAGCTGCAAGCATAACATACAGACATACAGAATATTTCAAAGGAAACATATGAAACTGATTCTCTGCAATAACTGAAGAGAGCAATAACGAAATGACTGATATTTGGACAGAGTTGTTCCAAGCTGCGAAGCTATCACATCTCTCAGTTGTCAACGTCGTAACAAGTTGCTGTTTAATAGGGTATCAGTGCTCCAGCCATAGTTTCAAACATTTCGTCCTGTGTGATAAAGCCGGTATGACACAGAGAGAGCCAATGCTAGCTGACTTACCTGGTGCAGTGTTCTATGTTGGCTGTGGCGCTGTGACTGTCTCCTTGTGAGCGGCTCGCTGGGACATAAGAGACTCGTATCGACCAAGGCTCCACCCCGAACAACCACTTCGTCACACACTACAATGTCCTACGCCGTTTTAGTAACACGCTTCTCGTTTACCGTCATTACTCACTTGAACCTTTCAAATACATTCCGTAATCATTTAGTTTCAGACATTTGTTAATGTAGACCATTAATTATTGACCACATGATAATCCAGAAGCTATTATTAGTAGTTGCTTGTCGTTTTCAATTAACGGGATGTCCGTCACGAAACAGAATTTCTATTTATTTATTATTTGATAAAATATATTATGTATAAATGCTCTAAACTCATGTTGTCCATGTTGAAATGCATACGATTACTAGCCATTAGCAGTTGTCTGGCACTGTGCACCAGGCAGGGTGTCTGACAGTGTTGACTTGGCAGGTTGTCTGACAGTGTTGAGTGTGGACTAGGCAGGATGTCTGGCAGTGTTGACTAGGCAGGTTGTCTGACAGTGTTGGGTAGGCAGGATTTCTGGCAGTGTTGAATAGGCAGGTTGTCTGGCAGTGTTGACTAGGCAGATTGTCTGACAGTGTTGGGTAGGCAGGATGTCTGGCAGTGTTGAATAGGCAGGTTGTCTGGCAGTGTTGACTAGGCAGGTTGTCTGACAGTGTTGGGTAGGCAGGATGTCTGGCAGTGTTGAATAGGCAGGTTGTCTGGCAGTGTTGACTAGGCAGGTTGTCTGACAGTGTTGAATAGGCAGGTTGTCTGGCAGTGTTGACTAGGCAGGATGTCTGGCAGTGTTGAATAGGCAGGATGTCTGGCAGTGTTGAATAGGCAGGTTGTCTGGCAGTGTTGAATAGGCAGGTTGTCTGACAGTGTTGGGTAGGCAGGTTGTCTGGCAGTGTTGGGTAGGCAGGATGTCTGGCAGTGTTGAATAGGCAGGTTGTCTGACAGTGTTGACTAGACGGGTTGTCTGGCAGTGTTCCCAAGGACGGTTGTCTGGCAGTGTTGATGAGAAAGGTCGTCTGTCAGAGTTGACTATGCAGGTTGTCTGGAAGTGTTGACTAGGCAGGTTTCTCTGACAGTGTTGACTAGACAGGCTGCCTGAAGTGTTGACCAAGCACGTTGCCATCCACAATGACGTACTAGGAATCGACTCTAAATCCTACACACACACATTAGTAACGTGTAATGTTAGGTTAATGTCGAAAAGACACGGTTGCCTCTACGCTGGCCTAAGGAACAAAGAAACTGTATCAAATATCAGGCATGGAATTAACGTTTCCTCATGTTGAAATTTAGTTTATAATGCCCAAATATTTCTACAAAGTAATAACACCTCTAAAAATGTACATGCCGTTTGTTGTGGTTGTCTGTGGGTGTATACAAGATAGTGACGAGAGATAAGAGTGAATCTTGACAGTAGAGAGTGGTTATATGAGAGATAGCCTCTTGGCAACCGAGCCATTCACTACTACGACACAGTGAAATATCACCTTACACCAGGTCCTGTTAAACAATACAAACAAAAGGCTTTGTGAAATCACCCCCCTCTACGGCGTTTCATGTCTAAAAATGAGTGCACGTTGCAACAAATAAGCGATTTTCAGCTTTGACCTGTGAAAAAGCGATAATATATGTTTTAATTTGACATTTTGTTCTTTTTATAAAAAAACTATGTGATTTCAATCTAATGGTCATCATGGTAACTGTCCCACAATCAGGTCTGTATTAACATTTGTTGCAGTGAGATTGTTACACAATGTCAGGTTGTATTTAAATGGGGTACCAATCCATCAGTTTCACCAAAATCTATTATCTGCGTCGTGATTATTCCCATGTTGACATACTCTAGTAGATACTATTTACATATTGATCGTCACATATAAGGGATAACACATGACTTTAACACGTCCAATCTGTTGCGTGTAACCGAAAGCCTCAAACGTTAACTTTAGAAATCCCAAATTTCAACATCCGAAACCTGTTCTATGAGCACATCTCCTTCCAGTGATAGTGTTCGATATATGTTTGTATCAGTTTCAATAATTATTTCATTATTTGTAATTATTGGATGTGGAACATTATCGCAAAACTGATATTGGTATAGGTGTTGTATGATCACCCTGTAACACATTGTAATAACGATCTATTGCAGTGGAAAGAACGGAAGTGAAAGTACATAAAGAATCCTAGGTAAATCAGCTTATTGAGACAACACCTCTTATATTACTCTTACATTACGCCTGTGTACATACCTATTTATCGAGACTACACCAGAACGTATTGAGACCACGCCTGTTTATTGAGAATACATTTGAATGTATTGAGACAAGGCCTCCTAATACAGACAACATCTTCATCTGTAGAGACTATAACTATTTGCTGAGGCTACATCGAATGCATTAAGACTACATGTCTTTACTGAGACGAGGTGAGAACAGTTTATCCAGTCTCGAGTGTTTAACATCTCATCACATGTTTACTGGGTATATTGAGACAACACTTCTTTATTTAGAGTACACCTATTTATCAATACTACACGTAAATGTATTGGGACTATCCCTGTTTATTAAGACTGCACCTGGATGTATCGATACACACCTGACTGTCTCGAAACTGTAACCGAATGTGTTGAGATTATACCTGAATGTATCGGGCTACACCCAAATGCATGGGGACTACACCTGTTTATTCAGACTGCACCTGGATGTATTGATACACACCTGACTGTCTCGAAACTGTAACCGAATGTGTTGAGACTATACCTGAATGTATCGAGACTACACCCAAATGCATGGGGACTACACCTGTTTATTTAGACTGCACCTGGATGTATTGATACACACCTGACTGTCTCGAAACTATAACTGAATGTATTGAGACTTTACCTGAATGTATCGAGACTATACCCGAATTTATATGTCGAGACTATGTATGGGGACTACACCTGCTTATTGAGACTACACCTGCTTATAGAGACTATGCTAGGATGTATTGGGAATACATATCTTTATTGACACTAAGCCTGAATGTATCGAGACTACACCTGTTTATTGAGACTACACCTGGATGTATTGATTCTACGTCTGAATGTATTGATAATACACCTGAATGCATTGAGACTACACCTTAATGTGTTGATCCTCCACCTGAATGTATTAGGATTACACCTGTGTATTGAGACTACACCTGAAGGTACTGGTACTATACCTGAATGAATTGAGACAAGACCTGAATGTCCTGAGACTACACCTTAATGTGTTGATCCTCCACCTGAATGCATTAATATAACGCGTGTGTATTGAGACTACACCTGAAGGTACTGGTACTATACCTGAATGAATTGAGACAAGACCTGAATGTCCTGAGACTACACCTTAATGTGTTGATCCTCCACCTGAATGCATTAATATAACGCGTGTGTATTGAGACTACACCTGAAGGTACTGGTACTATACCTGAATGAATTGAGACAAGACCTGAATGTCCTGAGACTACACCTTAATGTGTTGATCCTCCACCTGAATGCATTAATATAACACGTGTGTATTGAGACTACACCTGAAGGTACTGGTACTATACCTGAATGAATTGAGACTACACCTTAATGTGTTGATCCTCCACCTGAATGCATTAATATAACACCTGTGTATTGAGACTACACCTGAAGGTACTGGTACTATACCTGAATGAATTGAGACAAGACCTGAATGTCCTGAGACTACACCTTAATGTGTTGATCCTCCACCTGAATGCATTAATATAACACTTGTGTATTGAGACTACACCTGAAGGTACTGGTACTATACCTGAATGAATTGAGACAAGACCTGAATGTCCTGAGACTACACCTTAATGTGTTGATCCTCCACCTGAATGCATTAATATAACACGTGTGTATTGAGACTACACCTGAAGGTACTGGTACTATACCTGAATGAATTGAGACAAGACCTGAATGTCCTGAGACTACACCTTAATGTGTTGATCCTCCACCTGAATGCATTAATATAACACGTGTGTATTGAGACTACACCTGAAGGTACTGGTACTATACCTGAATGAATTGAGACAAGACCTGAATGTCCTGAGACTACACCTTAATGTGTTGATCCTCCACCTGAATGCATTAATATAACACGTGTGTATTGAGACTACACCTGAAGGTACTGGTACTATACCTGAATGAATTGAGACAAGACCTGAATGTCCTGAGACTACACCTTAATGTGTTGATCCTCCACCTGAATGCATTAATATAACACGTGTGTATTGAGACTACACCTGAAGGTACTGGTACTATACCTGAATGAATTGAGACAAGACCTGAATGTCCTGAGACTACACCTTAATGTGTTGATCCTCCACCTGAATGCATTAATATAACACGTGTGTATTGAGACTACACCTGAAGGTACTGGTACTATACCTGAATGAATTGAGACAAGACCTGAATGTCCTGAGACTACACCTTAATGTGTTGATCCTCCACCTGAATGCATTAATATAACACTTGTGTATTGAGACTACACCTGAAGGTACTGGTACTATACCTGAATGAATTGAGACAAGACCTGAATGTCCTGAGACTACACCTTAATGTGTTGATCCTCCACCTGAATGCATTAATATAACACGTGTGTATTGAGACTACACCTGAAGGTACTGGTACTATACCTGAATGAATTGAGACAAGACCTGAATGTCCTGAGACTACACCTGAATGTGTTGATCCTCCGCCTGAATGGATTAAGATTACACCTGAGTATTGAGACTACACTTGTTATGTGGAGTTTCTACACTCTAGGGTGTTTACATTCTCATCACATATTTACCGACTACAACGACTGAGTGTATTGAGACTATACCTGTTAAATGAAACTACGCTAGGATGTATTGAGACGACAGCTATCCCCTAAGAAATGGAGTGTATTGAGACAAGACCTGTTTATTGAGACAACGCTAGGACGTATTGAGATCTAGTATTAACATTCCAACTAACAGTAACCCTTTTAAAACTAAAAACGGAAAGACCCGTAAAGACAGCTATCGTATTTTAGCTTTAATTGTTTGTCCAGTTGACGAACACTTGTTCCAAAGTGTGTTCTGAAAGCACTTGTCGACATTTAGTTTGAC